CTTTTCACTGTCATTTTAACAGCATGACTCGCCTGTCTAGACTTTCCAATGAGGTACCATAGCTTTTTTAAATAAAATTGGGCAATCTCTGCACAGTCCGAAGGTGTCACTTTGGAACAGCCTCCTGCCCGAAATCCGCCTGGGCCCTTCACTAGGAAATTTTAAGCGATTGTTAGAGCATGGTTTTTTTTAGGCAGGCCTTTCCAGATCTTTAACATCTTAATACAGTGGTGCTCTTAACACTTGACACTTCTGTTATCTATCCTGCTGCCTTGGTTTTTTAATGTTAGGTATTATTAGTTAATTTCTCTTGATATGTTTATTTTTAACTCAGATTTATATTATTATGTTTTGTTTTAATTGTTGTTAATGATATGTCACTCAACCATGTAAACCGCCCAGAATGGCCTTGGTAGCCAGATGGGAAGTATAAAAATCAAATAAAAAATAAATATTTTCCACAGGAACCCAATAATAGGAGCTATTAGAAAGAAATGTGCATAACTGTCACTGCAGTTTATCTAAGCCAGCACAACTCAAAGGACGAGAGAATTACACTGAGTTGTGTATATTTATGGCTAAACAATATAACAGACTGCTTGCATAAGAAACAGTCTCTCCTTTTAAAACAATACTTTATTTGATTGTGTTTATAAAATTTACTGTAGAATCAGATACGGAACAAGCTTGGAGTACAAAGCAACAAGGTGAGGGTTTTTTAAATCGTTATGCACCTAAATCTTTCTACATATGTTAAGATACGCAGAAAGTTTATATTTCCTTTAAAATGGCACATGAAATACTCAGAAGCCATTTGAAAATGTGCACTGATCAATTACACTAACCAACGTTCTCCAACCTCCAGATGTGTGAGGTTGTACTATGTGTCATCATAGCCAGAAAAGTCCATGTGAATGAACAGTTCAATGCATCTAGAAGATACCAGACTGAGGACTGCTGTAACTAGTCCATAAATGGACCTGGCTTAGAATGATGTTCTGGTCAAGAGAAGCTTTGGAAGCAGCGCTCAGTGGTAGGGCCCATTCTTTTTACGCTGAAGATTTCACGTTCTATCTCTTGGCAACTTCTGTTAAAAGCTACAAGGCTACAGTTGATAAGAAAATACTTCTTGAGAAAATTTTCAAAACTGAAAGGGCTACGCTGTCAGACTAGGCTGTAGAGTACTCTACTAAAGGTTTGACTGGTCCATAGACCTAACTGTCCAGGGTCTGTGCTCCTGGATACGAAGAAATCAAGACTTTATCCTGCTGGGTATGACACCTACAAAAAATGAACCTATGGAAGGAAAAGCTGTCATGACAGATCAGGCCAAAGGCCTATCTCATTCAGAATTCTACTTCCACCATGGCCAAAGAGTATGTATGGCTACATGAATACAGTACATATGGCTACATCAATGCAGCCTTTTCCTCTGCCAATGCAAGATTTGGAGGCCATGATATCTCTTCTAATGCACTTCTCTGAGACTAGAAAATTTAACGTCTGAGGAAACAAGGCATTTCGGTTTCTGTTGAGGAAGGAAATATTTTTAAAGTTAAAACGGAGCCTGTCAAACCAACGAAAAGAAAGCAATGTTTGCATGAAGATTTAAAAAGATTAATCATATGGGATTTTTTTTTCTTTGCCCCCAGGAGAAAAGGAAGAGGGATGTTTATTCAACAAACAGGCAAAGAGACACATTGTTGAAAGCTGGTTACTTAATTTCAGTTCCACGAATGGCTTGAATTACAGCTTTTCAAAATGCAATCCCATAAACATGGTTGTGGGGGTCAGAGATGACTATTGTTGAGGTCCAACAACATCTAGAAAGGGAATGGTTTCTGCACCCTTGGATTCCATCTTGTTAAAACGATAAAGCAATTATGACTCACACTGGCTCTATAACCTTCTGCTTTTATTCTGCTAATTTAATCAACATTTACTCACCACTAGCGGTACAGGTTCCAAGCATTGGAACACTTCATTATATTGCAATAAATAAGTGCATCACAAGGTCACGATGGAGTCACTTCATGGCAGCAGGTAGGCCAGACAGCAAATTATTTTAGAGCAGATTTCTCTTGACACTCGACAACCCGCTTTCCAACAGGCGCCTGCCATTATGTTTCATTTCTTTATAATTCTGTGCAGCTGTATTGCCAATAATTAGGATATAGATTTTTTTTAACTGAGTGATGGAAACATGACTTGTCTAATTATGTAGTTTGTCTACCCACCGGTGAGCAATTCTATCGACTTCAAGTTCATTCCAAATAGCACATGCAGGTTCCATTATTGACTAATGTTCACCGCAACATCATTACTTGTTATCCCACTGCTAAGTACCAGAAACTCTCCGCAGGTAGTACCAGCTTTACTGACGATGGGAATGCTCAAGAGAAATAATGTATGTGTAAATCCCAGCATACAGGCATTTAGATATGGGTAAACATGCCATTTATTTGGGTTTCCCTTGACATTCTCCTTCCTTAATAAATCCACGTGACTGCCGTATTGATTCAAACAGACCCAAGCAACAACCCCCACCTGCATGCTCCCAACTCCGCAGAATTGTTTCATGGAGCGCCAACCACACTGTACAGAAAGACTGAGGTCTATCTTTATCTTTGCCATTGCCACAATCATCATAATCAAATCTATCCAAATTTCTTAAAAGGTTCATTGAATGTGTATCAGAAATGGAGAGGAAGGTTTCTAAATGATATATGTGTCCTAAAGCACAATTTGAACTGAATTTTTACAAACTTTGACTGCATCCCAAGAGCGGTGTGCTCTATCACTACACCTCATCTTCCAGCCTAGTCCTAGGGCTGCACCTTCTTCTTCGTTGCTCAGAAAACACAACGAGATCCCATAATAGGGCTCATCCTACAATGAGGTGGAGGGAGGCAGTCAACTCAGGCAGCAGAGGCTGGGAAGTGGCGACAGAGCATTGGAGAAGAGAATATATCCCATGAGGCCTGTCCTGTACCTCCTTAGATAGCCTATTCTTCTCAGGTGTGACTGCAGACGCTCTCCCACCACCTGTGTTGAAACTGTATTCTTAAGTGTGATGGCAGACGCTCTCCCACCACCTGTGTTGAAAAAAGATTCAGCTAACTGATTGAGATAGCTTTCATACATGGAATGGAAGAGGGTGCCATCTAAGTTGTCACCTCAGGAACTGAAATATCTTGGCCTGAGCTTGTTCCATAAGTAAAGTGGTATGCATGCCATAGGTGTATCACCCAAGCAAGGAATCTAAAACAGGAATCAGCACCCCTAAAAAGAAATGGAAGAACATATGGATGGTCTGGACACCATCAAGATCAGATGGTAGGGAGAGAGACTGCAAAGCTTCTGGTGTCTATTCGCTGGCATGAGGACTCCATCGTTTTCTGTAAACTCAAGTTTACAGTGGACCCTTGACTTACAGACGGCTTGACTTACAGATTTTTTGAGTTACACTGAGGACTCCATCGTTTTCTGTAAAATCAAGTTTACTTTCCACTGCCCTCCATGCCCACTTGTCGCTCCAGCCTTTTATGCTGACAAGCAGTTACACAGTAATTAAGGTAAGGTAGGGGTGATGTGGAAAGTTATTATAAGCACATGTTGTTGCTTAGATGTTTAGTTGTGTCCGACTCTTCGGGACCCCATGGATCAGAGCACGCCAGACCCTCCTGTCTTCCACTGCCTCCCAGAGTTCGGTCAAATTCATGTTGGTAGCTTTGATGACACTGTCCAACCATCTCATCCTCTGTCGTCTCCTTCTCCTCTTGCCTTCACACTTTCCTAACATCAGGGTCTTTTCCGGGGAATTATAAGCACACAGAAAGGAGCAAAGACTTGTACATTATTGCTCAAAGAAGTTTTATAACAAACAGTCACTTTCTCGTTGATCAGTCTTTGGCTCCTTGGTACAGTGCCACAATCCCTTTTGCAATTCTGGAAGGTTACCGACTACAAATGGCATTCAAAGAACCACCAGGAAAGCCAGATGAAACAGACAGAGTGTAGTTAAGAGTGCAGAGAAAGAGGGGGGGAAAAACAAATGCAGTAATTGACAAATTATGGAGCCAGAGTTTGGGAGTTCAATTCCCCACTGTGCCTCCTTGTCAAGGGTTGGACTCGATGTTCCATAGGGTCTCTTCCAGCTCTGGAGTTCTAAGATTATTATTAGTATTGCTTGGATCGCTCAGTGGTTTAGGTACTTTTCCATCATGGATGGAGAAGGCAGTTGGCTACAAGAACGAATCATGGGAGGCCTCAGCACATCCTCTTTAAATGGATATGTTTTAATGGACAGTGCCATGTATTCATTGCCCAAGCAGCCCCTACTTGGAAACGTTATTTCTGGACCAAATCCCCCAATTCCTAGGGGATTCTGGGTACAGGGGTCCAAAATGTCTTCTAAACTCTGTATTCAGTAATATATATTCATATAAACATAAACAATCAGCTGCAGGTTAGATGTTCTTTGCTCAGGAATGAGGAAAGTAAGTCCTCCAGATGCCGTTGGAATGTAGCTGACTTCAGCTCTTGACAATATAACTAACTTTGACAGATGATGTCAGTAGAAATCTAGCAATATCTGGAAGGCCATTTCTGGCCTACTTGATGGAGTAAAGGAGGGAAACAGAAAATTTGCTTCAACACACATCCAGAGATTCTGTGTCAAACTTGCGTAAGCAATGTCTGGATCAGTGGACCTCTCAGACTCTCTTATCAACTTGATTTTCAAAAGATGGGCATCAATAACCCCAAACCAGGAGAATCCTATCAGCTTTTCCCAATAAGAATAAGCTGGCAAGGGCTTGATCTCAGGAAAAGACAAATGGACAGTCAATGCAGAAGAGGGGGTTGAATTTCCACCCAAAAATACCCACTATACTAAGATACAGACCTGAGTGTGGGTAGCAACAACCCATATGCAAAATTGTGCTGAACCACCATTTTGCAATGCATCATTAAGTCCTAGAAATTGTGCAGCTTCTTACCTCAGGAGTACTGTGCTTTTCTTCTGTCTCCTCCATGTTTCCCCTCGGATTATAAATTATATCGGCAGAATGTCAAGGTGGCAGCTCCTGTTTGATCAATTAGGCTTTTTAATTACTTTTAAAAACATATGCCAAAGACTCGCCCACCACCAACATTTCAGTTGCAAACCAGAATCAAACTTTGATCGGCAATAGTTGTTTGGATTTTGTCACCATCCCGTCTCCAATGCCAGGCCGGCCAAGACGGAAGGCCAAAATTCAACATTTTTTGCATTATAACAAAGCAGTGAACACACTATTGGTGATTTTAGTTTTGGAATATTTTTCTTCTACACGGGCAAACGAAGCAAACTAGGCCTAGGTATAATTAGCAATTGTATGGATGCTTTTGTTTTTTAAAATAAATAGCACAGGAGATACTTTCCATTTGTTCCAGAAAAGAAACATCAGGCACAGAATTGAGATGCAAGTCATTGATACTGCAATGGGCCCAAAAGTGAACACCCCCTATATTAGTGTTTTCCAAACTTGGGCCCCCAGATGTTCTCAGACTACAACTCCCAGAAATCCTGGCCAGCACAGCAAACGCTGATGGCTTCTTGGAGTTTTAGTCCAAAAACATCTGGGGACTCAAGGTTGGGAACCATTGCTCTATACCAATATGTTTTGGGAGGTTTTCTTATTCCATGCTGCAGGCAGTAATTATCAGATTATAAACCCCTCCATGTGCACCAATCTATTTCTGGCTATAATAGCTATGAGTACTTCTAGACATACAGTGGACCCTCTACTTACAGAATTAATCCGCATTGGAACGGTGGCTGCAAGTCGAAAAGTCTGTAGGTCGAATCTCTGTTGACCTACAATGCATTGAAAACTGATTAATCCCATAACTGGCAGTTTTTATTCTATTTTTGTTCCATTTTGGTATACCAACATGTCTTGGGAGGTTTTCTTATTCCATGATGCAGGCAATAATTATCAGATTATAAACCCCTCCACATGCACCAATCTATTTCTGGCTATAATAGCTATGAGTGTTTATAGACATGTACTATCACCTTATGTTAGATTATATTTTTAAGAGAGAAGTCTGTAACTCGAAAAGTCTGTAAGTCGAGCCGTCCGTTAAGTCGAGGGTTCACTGTATACCATCACCTTATGTTAGATTATATTTTTAAGATCTTCATTGTGTAAAATTTTTAAGGAGGGTTTTTTCCCCCTGCACACACCTGTATTTCAAATGTAATGCAGAACAGGGTTGAGAGATTTGAAGAATGCTGTAAGATAGCATTCTCCTCTGCTCACAAAGAGAAGATCAATGAGGAGAAAGCCCTGGTCAAAGCTACTTAGCCATTCCATCCCAGTGACAGAAACTACAGAAATTCTTTCTAGCCTCACGGCCAAGAAAATCCAAAGTTCCTGAAGTTGATATTAATCCTTTGGTCTACAAAAGGGCAGTCAAAACCTTAGGTTGTTGGCTGTATCTTCCAATCTACCTACAGTATTTTACCTAGGTCTTAGCAGAAGTCCTAGAAAACTGCGCTGTCGACATGGTAAGCATTTTTCTAGCTCTAAGAACAAGAACCTCGTGTTCAAGTTGCAAGCATCCACTGTATTACTTGTCATGGCACAGTGTTTTGTGTGCATATGCACTTGGTAACTGTGAAACCTTTACTGATCCAATGCTGTAGAGTTTTATTAGGTAGCCTGGCAGCTCAACAAAAAAAAAAGTTAAAGCTTGTGTGGTAAAATACAAATATGGACCCCAGAGAGACTGTCCAGAGAATGAAAACATTGTTCTTTTGGCCACCCAGGGCTTAGGGACCCTTACATCCAAGGCTGCTGATTTGAAGCGTTGGATGTAAGGGTCCTTGTTTTTTTCTTTCCAGGAGGCCTGGAAAGAAAAAACAAGACACCGGGCCTTCTTGGCAGTGGCTCCCAGGCTCTGGAACATGCTCCCCCGCCCCGAGATTTGTCTGGCCCCCTCGCTGGGCATTTTCAACAACCAGCTCAAGACCTGATTACATAGACAGGCCTTACCTCCAGGCACTACATAACTCTCTATCTCTCTCCATCTTTATCTACTCTGTTTGTGTAAATGTTGAAATTTTTTGTTTTATATTAATTGTTTTTATTCTGTGTTTCTTTGTGTAAATGTTGGAAATTTTTGTTTTATATTAGTTGTTTTTATTCTGTGTTTTGTGAGCCGCCCAGAGTAGACTATGTCTAAATGAGCGACATATAAGCTCAATAAATAAATTAATTAAATAAAGCAATATTCTTTTTCCTCACAAAAGCTGCTAAAAGGCCTTACCTTTGTCACCTTCTTCTGACTAGGCTTAATCTCGCAAAAGATCACCATCTCAGCTTGAATGTGACATGTCCAAAACACAGCAGTCAACCACTGCCACACATACGTAAGGTTCTGGCTTATTTGAGCCTTGTTCTCTGTAGGAGATCTCACAACTTATTCAGCTGTACTGAACAGCTTCATAGCCTTCTCATTTGCCGGCTATATTTCTTGAGTTTATCCTCGTTGTTACCTTGTTTACAGCTCCACTCTTTGCCCAGGGAGTCATCAGCTGGGGAACATTTCACAACTGAGGGACTCTTATGCAACACACTCATACACACACTTATAGCGGGCGTGTAAAACCTGCTTGCTGGTATGGTTGCAACCAGCACATTTTGGAGAAGCCCAAAGGCATGCTGAAAACTGGTGTTATCTGACCAATTTATCAGTTGACATAGTAAACAAAGTTTTGAAAACTTTTAACTGATTAACTGGAACTATTTAATAGCAGAAGCAGATTCAGATACTCCTTCTAATGATTAATCGGCTGATTAAGGTGAATTCTGAACATAGACAACAGCTCCTAGAGTTATGGGGAAATGCCATATTGTTGATGGGCCAGCCTTAATGAAAATGACATGGACCAAAAAGTTTCTCTTCCCTCATCGCTGTCACTACTACTTTGCATGAAATCTTATACACTGTATTTTAAAAGAGTTTTCCTTCCTAGATCAAGTGCAATGCTAGGAGACAGCAGATAATTTAGCATTTATATCCTCTAAATATTTGGAATATTTATAGATGTATAAACAATTGCCATCTGTACACAAACAGAAATCTTTGTTTCAGCATGCTAAATGACACACAATCTCAGTCAGGTAAGCAATAGTTTTCCATAAACGTGCTTAATGCAGGCCAAAATAAACATTACAGGTACCTCTGCACAGTACTGTTGTACAGGATTTTGGCAGACTTTCATTGTCTAAGAAATTAGACTTTTATGCCTTGCCCATATTTACATCCAGAAACCTCTAAGCAAAGCAAGCTAATCTGCAAGCTACAGCGCAGGTGAAAATCTCCTGCTGTGACAATAAGATGTTTTTAGCCAAGAAATTTCTTTTTCTGAGGACAGGTTACCTGAGATGTGCAGTATGGCCATTAGTAATCACTTCTTTGCCTACATCTTTCAGCTCAGCAGAATGATTGGGGCAGGGAGATTGAGGAAAATGCATCTCAACAGAAGGACTACCAGTACAGCTTGAACACTTGCTACAGACTTTTTGATTTTCTAAAAGTTTTGGAAACACTTAAAAACAAACAAATGTCACTCCTGTTTAAACAAAAAAAACCCCAACCATTCAAATGAGTAGAGCTTCATTTCCAAAGTCAAACATGAATTAACTTCTGTAAAATGGCTTTAAAAGAGATGAATTGATGGGCTAATGGACTAAGGTGTGAAGCATAGGCGTCTGATCCAGACGCCAATGCTTCACACAAGAGAATACTGTACAGGCACTTAGAAAAAACACATATGCACAGCTTTGCAAAGCAAGTTTGAATTATAAAGAGAATTTATTTTACCCCACCCAAAAATTCATTTTGTCTTTATTTCCCACCAGTACCCCAAGATCAAATCGTTCAGAAGTTTCATAGGAAGGATAACAGATTACAAAACCACGTGAAGAAACAATTACCCATCCCAAAGGAATGGCCTGTCATAAAAAATACAGCTAAATTCACATGTACTTCTCATACGACAAGAAGTTGCCTTGATCTCTCAACTTGGCTTTGTCCAGTAAAACAAGACATTTTATGGTGACAGGGTTTTTCATCTTCTGGATGGTCCTCTGCCATTCACTCCATTCACTGTTGTCTAGGTATCAAGGTTGTATCGAATGCATTAAAAATGTGTGTACAGAAACGGGTAAGAGGCCCCTGAGAAATGCTATGCTCAGTATTAAAGGGTGGTTCTGCAGAGCATATTAACACTTATTTCTAACAAGAAGTAGAATATGAGGGGGTGCTGACAAGTACTGAGCCTCATTAACACTTATTTCTAACAAGAAGAAGAATACTGATAAGTACTGAGCCTTACCCAGAAAAAATTTAACTAGGAAGCTGTAAATTGTAGGGTGTATTGTCCAATTCGTCTACATTCAATGGTGCAGAAATGATTTTATGATTTTAACTTATATTTCATTTTCTGGTCCAAAGTGAACATGGCAGCACCTCCAGAAAAGTTCAGTGTGGAAGAGCATAGGGCCATAATCAAGTTCCTGTTTCTCCAAGGGAAAGGTGCAAAGCAGATCCATGATGAAATCTCACAAACTATGGGTGACAGTGGCCCTTCATATGCAACAGTTAAACATTGGGTGGTCGATTTTAAAACTGGCCATTTCGTTGTTGAAAGTGAGAAACCCAGCGGAAGGCCTGTTTCTGTCTCTGTGCCTGCAAATGGGAAAGCCATCCATGACATGATCATGGAGGACCGCCAAATAACAGCCAAAAGTATTGCTACATATCTGGGAATATCCCGTGAGAGAGTTGGTGCCATTATCCACAATGACTTGGAAATGAGAAAGCTGGCAGCAAAGTGGATCCCCAAACTTCTGACAACCAAACAAAAGAGGAAACGTGTAGAACATAGGTTCCCAAAGTTCAGGGAATGGTTGTCTGTGCATCTGATCATTATCTCATGGTTCAAGTTCCTGCCTGGGAAAGTAAGATTTTTCTGTGAGCAATAGTCTTTGGGACATGGCATAGCTCTGGGATCGAAGACATTCTTGGCATGAAGAAGGATCAACCTGCAGCAAATCTAGCTAACTTGATATGAGGACCTTGGCATGAAGAAGCAGCAAATCTAGCTAACTTGATATGAGGAAGCACAACTAGGAAATATCTCTGCTTGGAGAGATTAGGCCCCTGCTAAACTAGATGGACCATCTTTGATTCCGTCCCCAGAGAGTTTCAACAAACTGAAACACAGATTGAACAAAATCATTTATGCTTCTTTTTGAAAATTTAAGACCAAAGGAACATGCGGTCTATGCAAAATAAGCACATGTACTCACAGATTGAGAGTAACTAACTGTACTTGCAAGCAATGTAACTGCCTCTTTTCTGAGAGTATGAGTTGTTATGAAGTTAAATAGTTGCAAAGTTTAGGTACAATGAGCAATATTTTCTAGTTACTTTCAACATTACATGTTAAGGGCATTTTAAGGCTTTTCAAGTTTTAGAACTTCCTTTTAGCTACTGATAAGTGGCAAGGGAACTATTCTTTCAATTTGCCTTTAGTATTTGCAAGGTAAAATATGAGATATGGCTGCAAGAGCGAACACATACTGCCTTTTCTCCCCCCCCCCCACATTTACGGGTAAGGACAATGAAATAGTAATAGCACATAACCTAACAATATTTTCATACTGTCAGAGCAATGATGTTATTTATTTGTTTGTTCATTTATTTATTTGATTTATACCCCGCCCATCTAGACTGAAGTCTACTATGGGCGGCTAACAACAAGACATATAAATAATATATAAATGATAACAATTCATGAGACTTCCTTTTAAAATAACAGGATTTCAAGCTTTAGGTGTGCTAGGTATATATGTTTCTCTAGATACAGGGCTGCAGAAAGAAATAAAGTAGATCTCACAAGCATGATGTTATCCCACCTATAGAGGGCAACTGGAAACAGACAACGCAACTTAAACCTCCGGTTTGAAGCACTGCTCACTATAACATTGCAGGACAAATAAACTTGGTATTATTTCTGAATCAGATTAATTTCTTCTTGTGAATCTGTGCAACATGAGCCCAACAAATCTCTTTGCTCACAGACCAGCACTGTAACAACCTGCAAACCAGTGAGAATCAGTGAAATACAAGACATGATTTCTTCAGGTGGAGCTATGCACAGAATTTAACAGCACAAATCTCCAAGAATCATCAGGAGAGGACAGGAAAAAAGGAAGCACCTTATTGCTACCACTTATGCACCAGAAGGCCTATATAGACCCTAGATTGGATTTACTTCCAATAAACATCACCAAATTCAAGGCTTAAAATGATTAAAATCTGTGCTCTCCATTCAACCATAAACATGCACTGAAGAAAGAAAGGAACTATTGTGTCTCCAAGGCATTTGCCAAATGGCATTAAGAATTAACTAAATTAGCATTAAGCAATTGCTAAGAAATTCATTTCATGTATATTGTCTCCCTGCTTATTTATATGCAGAATACATCACGCAAAAGGCTGGACTGGATGAATTCCAAGCCAAAGGCTGGACTGGATAAATCCCAAACCGGAATTAAGATTGCTGGAAGAAATATCAACAACCTCAGATATGCAGATGATACCACTCTGATGGTAGAAAGTGAGGAGGAATTAAAGAACGTCTTAATGAGGGTGAAAGAGGAGAGCGCAAAAAATGGTCTGAACCTCACCATTAAAAAAATCTAAGATCATGGCCACTGATCCCATCACCTCCTGGCAAACAGAAGGGGGTTTATGGAGGCAGTGACATGATCACTGCAAATGGTGACAGCAGCCAGGAAATTAAAAGATCCCTGCTTCTTGGGAGGAAAGTGATGACAAACCTAGACAGCATCTTAAAAAGCAGAGACATCACGTTGCTGACAAAGGTCTGCATAGTCAAAGCTGTGGTTTTTCCAGTAGCGATGTATGGAAGTGAGAACTGGACCATAAAGAAGGCTGACTGCCAAATACTTGATGCTTTTGAATTGTGGTGCTGGAGGAGCCTCTTGAGAGTCCCCTGGACTGCAAGGAGCTCAAACCTATCCATTCTAAAGGAAATCAACCCTGAGTGCTCACTGGAAGGACAGATCCTGAAGCTGAGGCTCCAATACTGTGGCCATCTCAAGAGAAGAGAAGACTCCTTGGAAAAGACCCTGATGTTGGGAAAGTGTGAAGGCAAGAGGAGAAGGGGACGAAAGAGGATGAGATGGTTGGACAGTGACATCGAAGCTACCAACATGAATTTGACCAAACTCCGGAAGACAGGAGGGCCTGGCGTGCTCTGGTCCACGGAGTCACGAAGAGTCAGACGCGACTTAACGACTAAACAACAACAATGAAATTCATACTTTTAGCTATAACCTGCATCCAATGCCATGTGATAAGGAAATCAAAAGAAACCATGCTCCTCAATGGCAATGGCTGTGTACCCCATTCAAATATACATATACATTTAATATCACATCCATCGCCTAGTACTATAACTACACAACTGATCAATTTCTGAGCTTGAGTCAAAGGGTTGGTGCTCACCTTTAAGCCCTCAATTATTTTTACCTGAAGAACTGGCTGCTCATATATGTTCCTGCCTGATTGTTAAAGCCATCTTCAGAGATTATCTTCTCTGGGCATCACCACTTACAGTATCATGATGGGTGGCCACCAAGGTAAGGAAGGGCCTAATAGCAAACCAGTCTACAGAATGCCTTTCCAAAAGAGATCTACCTAACAACATCACTAGTAGCATTCAAAATTCAGTTCATGGCTCCTGGTTCAACATTCTAACATCTTGCATTCTGGCTTGCCTATATTATAATACATGTGATGATACCGACTGATTTTTTTATTGCTAATTTGAGAGTACCATAAATATTTTAAATAAGTGACTACAAAAAATCACAAACGACAATAATGCTACAGTCCTCTTTAATCTGACTTCTTATAGGGGCTGTATCAGTCCTGGCAATCAAGAATAAAACCTTCACCATTATCTACCATGCTGAATTCTATAACAGATTCGGATTCTGGGAATTTGTTGCTTTTTAACCTAACCCCACAACATTCTACAAAAAGTTTCTTGCAACAATTGCCTTTTCCTGTTATCAATGGAGCACATCTCTTGTGTTTAGAACAACAAATATAACTTCTGCCTGTGCTTTCCTTAGCGGCTCCATCTAGCAATTTCATGCAAGCAAGGATAAGGAGCCAGCTTAATAAATTTTCCAATGAAGAGGGAAAATAACCTCTAGACAGTCGGACTCAATAATACGCAGATGCCTTATTGAAGTCTGTGGGCCTTGAGCAGGTGTAGTTCCTTGGAACCCACACTTTTAGTTATTTCAAGCTCTAAAATGCATACGTAACTTCTTAGTTACTTGCATCATTCAAAAAAGCAAATTCTAAGATGCACTTTCTTATTATTATTCCTTTCCTATCAGAGGTTGGATGCCATCATGGCTATTCTGATTTTAGACATAAAGCCTAAATAACACTGTTCTGTTTCTAAGGTCTAAACCTCTAAGATTTTTTAAACAAAATATTTTTTTCTTTTTAGCACTTCTTTCCCCATCATTTTACATAAAATGATCGGTTATAACAATCTACACTATTGTTTCACCTTACATGACAGGCCTATTCAAATTTTCTGTATATTCTGTGTTTTATGACTTCCTCACCTTTATTCATTAGCTTTGGCATTTCTTTCCTGGGCACTTTTCTATCCAAGAATAAGTCCACATTTATTGCTGCTGTGAGAAATCCAGATCTGAAATGTTTCGCTCTCTTTATAGTCACCTGCTTTACAGACCACAATAGAGTATCATACAGTAAAAGAGAAAAGACATAGCAGCATACAGTGGAACTGCTCAAAGCCAGGTTTAAGCTCTTCTTTGTATGTGTATGTCTATTCATGCATGTGTGTGTGCACATGTCATTCGTGACAAGGTACATGTAAGATGATACTTGCAGAAAAGTTAACAAGAGGAGAGGCTTTCTACTATTACCATGGGTCCATCTTGATGCAGAATACATAACGAAAGGCAAATATCATACAGATGTAATTTATACAACCCTTAAAAAACTCAAGTGTTTGGACAGCAGAGAAATATAGTGGTTCTCTTTAAGCATCTTAAACAAGTTTATTTGGATTCCAGTAAGAATCTATATTTCCCCCTTTTGTTTTTAAGTTTCACAAAATACAAAGTAACATTGCCTTTGCCTGAATTAAACAGATTTCTCTACTTAAGTCCAGTTTTTCTGTAATTATACCTACTTAAGAAGAAACTGAAAAACTACTACACAATGAAAATAATACATTACCACCTAGTTGTCAATCGCAACATATATTTGTCAAGCAGATATGATTAATTATCCCCTCAAAACAGTAAACCACATAAGATAGGGACAAGATCTGATTGCTCACAGGATACACAGAGACCCACTGTACAGAAAGAACAGTTTTGGAGATGAAAAATCATCTTCTCCACCCCAGCTTGATTTCACACCCTGACTGCTTTTTTTAAAAAAAAATTCTTGTGATATACCATAACGTAATCAAAATGGTTTTTTACTTACACGTCTCTTCTTTTTGTTCCCCAACCAAGATTGCAGAATCTCCACAGGTTCCACCCCAGCCTGATTTCACACCCCTGACTGCTTTTTTTTAAAAAAAAAAATTCTTGTGATATACCATAATGTAATCAAAATGGTGTTGTACTTACACGTCTCTTCTTTTTGTTCCCCAACCAAGATTGCAGAATCTCCACAGGATGAGAAATCACAGTCTCATTTGTTTTCTGTGAACGAAAACAAACAAATATAAATAAATGGACGATGGAGCATTCCTTTAGACCACTGGTTCTTAACCTTGGGTTACTCAAGAGTTTTGGACTGCAACTCCCAGAAGCCTTCACCACCAACTGTGCTGGCTGGGGTTTCTGGGAGTTGCAGTTCAAAAGCATCCGAGTAACAAAGGTTAAGAACCACTGCTTTAGACCAGTGGTTCTGAACCTTGATTAACCCAGGTGTTCTTGGACTGCAATTCCCAGAAACCCTGACCAGCAGAGCTGGTGACGAAGACTTCTGGGAATTGCAGTCCAAGAACACCTCGGTTGCCAAAGGTTAGGATCACTGCTTTAGACCAGTGGTTCTCAAGCTGGGGTCCCCAGATGTTCTTGGACCACAATTCCCAGAAGCCTTCACCACTTGCTGTGCTGGCCAGGATTTCTGGGAGTTGAAGTCCAAGAACACCTCGGGACCCAAGTTTGAGAATCACTACTTTAGACAACAGCACATGTGAGAATGAGTTCACACAACGCTTGGATCAAGTCAGGTTATTGCAGGGCTTTATCACTGGAGCCCTTTAGTTGTCTTCAAAGTATCTTAGACAAGCAGGTGAAGTAGGTTAACACAGTATTTTCCGAAATCCTACAGAAATTCAACTAGAATGGCATCTAAACTCAGGTTCAGTCATGTTTTTATGACTGAATCTGACTATTTACAAATAATTAATATTTGTATAATAAGAACGTGAAGAGGGGGAATGTAGTAGCCCCACCACCTCCCTCATCATCCCCTTCCCCATTCCCCTCCATTTATGGAGGCATTCCATGCTGGATGGAGCTCTACAAAATCAGACCCCAGAGATAGTCTCCATGTGCAAAATCTCTCCAAACTTTATTTGTCCCGGGTGATGGAAGTGAGGACAGATCACAGTTAGCACACTCCTCTCCATGCCCTTATTTGTACACAGTTAAAAATGACTGAACGGGTAAAATACACACCAGAATCTAGAAGAATGTATGGACCTTCTCTCTCCTTCTTTCTCTTTCGCATATAGACACATAACCTACTCCATATTATTTCCATACTTGCTGCCATTTAAAAAAATCTGCATGGATATCTGGATGCACTGTTACAAGGAATTTTCTTTAAAGCATTTTTTAAACCTCCCTGAAGTGATAGGCATCCAATGTTGCCCCTCCAGATGTCTCTGAGGGAAATAATTTGCCTCTATTGTGGGGAATCACCTCCTCCAAGTCTGTTTTGAGCCAGAAAAGGTCCTTTTCCCCCCAGAATAAGAACAGTCCTTTGGGAAGAAGCAAATATTTTACAGGTTATGGGATGGCCTAGGGAGATGGACAACAAAATGTCTCTCATCAATGCCTTTGATCAGAGAACTGCACAGCAAAATTCTGAGATATGTTAACTGCCAAGGATGATTGACACCTACTTTGTCATATTAGTTAGGGAAGGGCCAATTCAGACTGCCGTACATTACATGAGAAATAAAATTCATCCAGGCTTCCACCCAGATACTTAGACCCAAAGTTGCTCAATTTTTAGCAGGATTTCAATATCATGTGCTCTAGAGCCTTAGTATGTTTTAAAACCTGTTCCCTGTTGGTAGCCTCTTTTTCAACGTCTTACTGTAGTGCCATTTTGAAATTAGGTGCTATAATGGCATAAGTAAACTTCATTGTATGCCAAGCGCAAATATTTCTATCCTGATAAGGATTTAAAACTCCACAAAAATTTTAATCGCATTGCCTGTCACTTGACTTGGCTCGAAAGAAAGCAAGCTGGTGGCTTTATCAGCAAATCTCAGACATCCACTGTTACCGTTTAGCCTGCACAGTTTCCAGAGTACGTGACAAAAATAGCATTTGCTAAGTGAACTAGGCAGCAATAGAGCTTTGGCATTCCTGCCTAGCTTATCAAAGAACCTTCAGCTCCTCTGCTTTTTTCTAGAATTTGGGAGGAAAAAATACTTCCTGGAATCACAAATCTAAGAATCCCATTGCCAGCAAGTCCAAGGATCATACTGGTTGCAGAATTCTGGAAATTGCAATCCAAAATAGTAACTTCTCCAGGCGCTGCCCCTTAACTAATTCTGCCTCTATTCGCTTTGTGCTTTGCCCCCAAAATGTAAACTCAGTTTGCATGATTCACTCAGCCTGACAGCTGGAGTCGGACAGTCCTCATATCGAGATTCACAGACTCATCCCAGCTGAGTTTGATTTTCCAATTGCAAACAGGGTACTGGCCTTAAACTGCAAGATTGCCTAGAATAATTAAAAACAAGAGCAGCCAGTTAATCTACTGTGAAAGGTATGCAGCATTTTTTTTAAGTGTCAGAGACTCCACCCATTCTTTTCCTGGAGTTTCCAAGCCTTTAGGCCTGTATCCTGGATTGATCTGAGGGCATGAAATGTGTCCTTCCATGCATTTGTCTCATTGCCCCTATCCACTAGATCTCAGGAGATCCCCTTTACTCTGCCCGTTCCTGCGACTGTATAATTTTTGGACAACCGGCAGCCATTTTTTTTTCCTGTCCATGCATTCATGGGGGAGGGGGGTTAGCCACCACCCTGAGGCCAAACGAACAGGCTTTTGATCCTCTTCGATGCCTCTGGGGAGAAACCATTTTGAGAAGACATGCCCGCTCTTGCACACAGTTTAATAGAACGATTCGTTCCTCTCAGAGAGAGAAACACCACCCGGAGCAGGGATCACCTCCAGGCCTTGCTTTCCAGGCACCCAGGGAGATTCTCGGCCTCGTCTCAGGGTCGGGCCTCCAGCCCCACGGACGGCTCCCTCGTGGCACGCGCAGGGGCAACGAACGGCGGCTTCGTCCTCGAAACGGTCGGGCGGCGGGGAATATTCACGAAATCCCATCGCCCCCTTTAGAGAAGCCGTTTGAGCCTCTAGCAGCTGGCGGAGCCCCTGAACAGCTCGGCTGAACATCATGAGGCAGCCCGCGTTTCACGGCTCAAGATGGGGCTGGAAAAGAGGATTTTTTTGGCCTTCGAAGAGGTTCTAGAAAAGGAGACCATGAATGGCTGATCTCTCCCTGAGCCTTCTCCTCACCAAAGGGCACCTTCGGGGCGGAACCCGCTCTGCTCCGCCCCAGGGGCACGTTTCCTCAGCCACTGGCTCCTTCAGAGGCGGCACCAATTCTCAAACTCCTCCCAATGATCTGGTTTTTCCTTAAAAAAAAAAAAATGCACAAGATTTCGTACAGAATTGGCCGAGCATGGGCTAATGGGACTTAATGGCCCATTCAAAACAAAGCAACCCTCAAGTAATGTGAATTTCAGCTAGGGATATGACAAATTCTCACAACCCCCTTTAGAGAAGCCGTTTGGGCCTCCAGCAGCTGGCGGAGCCCCTGAACAGCTCGGCTGAACATCATGAGGCAGCCCGCGTTTCACGGCTCAAGATGGGGCTGGAAAAGAGGATTTTTTTGGCCTTCGAAGAGGTTCTAGAAAAGGAGACCATGAATGGCTGATCTCTCCCTGAGCCTTCTCCTCACCAAAGGGCACCTTCGGGGCGGAACCCGCTCTGCTCCGCCCCAGGGGCGCGTTTCCTCGGCCACTGGCTCCTTCAGAGGTGGCACCAATTCTCAAACATTTCCCAATGTTCTATTTTTTCCTTAAAAAAATAAATAAATGCACAAGCTTTCGTACAGAACTGGCCAAGCATGGGCGTGATTCTATTGTGTGTGTGGGGTCTCGTATCCTTATCTACGTCTAAGGTTTTAATGTAAAGCTTCTCTTAAGAATCCTACACCCTGATGGGGCGGTATTTCTAAAGTCTTCCATGTTTCTAATTACTTAATGGATTCTGAATTATGATTGTAGTCTTTTAATCTATGATTTATTGTGTTTTGAGTATTAGTTGTTGTTTTTTAACATGGGGAGTGCCTTGTATCCCCATATTGGGAGAAAGACCGTCTCCCATGGACACAAAATAAAATAAAATAAAATGAACACTTTCTACTTTCCCTGGTACATATGGGGTAAGAATAGCAGGGAAGGGGAAGAGCAATTTATGACATGGACGCTCCCTATGCTGTCCAAAATGGTGCTGTAGAAATAGTTCTACAAATAAATCCCAGAGGAGGTTCAAAGTTCACACTCTTGAACTTTATGGACGGTTACCTCCACAACCCAATAAAATAGCCATCACTTATTAAACCTGCTAGGAACAAGAAGAGAACAGTGCAGATGGGCCTGGAAACCCATTCGCCTTGTGACCGCAAGGGCCCTTGCGAAGGTCTGGTCCGATCCCCCGCTTCATGCATGCATTTGGTCCTGTTTGTGGTGTGGGGAAAGGGCAGACCATTGAGAAGCATTCAGAATTGGTACTGCCTCTAAATGAGTCAAGAAGACCTAAGACACACATCCCTTGGGGAGAGGATAGTGAGTCACCAGGTTGCTTCCTGGTGAGGACAAAGGGCAGGAAAAGGGTGCCCATTCACAGGCCCTGAGACTTTCTATTTTTCTAGAACACACCCTAGGGTGGAGGGTTGGACATCCACCTAACCCTCCTTTTTTTAGCCCAGTCCATTGCTGGGAAAACACAGACTGCCTCATAATATTGAGGAAAGCTATTTAGATATCCATATGGCTGAAGGCCCAATTCTGCATCAAACCAAATAATTTACACAAGGCATCTTGAAGTGTTTTTGCTAATGTTATGGGTTGTATCTATAGGGTTAAAAAATAATTATATATTCCTTTGCTTTTAGATTTCCAAAAAGAAATCTGTGTTCAATCTGTGTTCCAGTTTGTTGAGCCTCTCTGGAAACAGAATCAAAGATGGTCCATCTAACTTAGCAGGGACCTAATCTCTCCAAGCAGAGATATTTCCTAGTTGTACTTCCTCATATCTAGTTAGATTTGCTGCAGATTGATGCTTCTTCATGCCAAGGATGTGTTCAATCCCAGAGCTATGCCATGTCCCAAAGAGTATTGTTCACAGAGAAACCTTACTTTCCCAGGCAGGAACTCAAACTTTGAACCATGAGATAATGATCAGATGCACAGACAACCATTCCCTGAACTTTATAGAGTCACTGGGAATTCGGTTTTTAACAGGAGGAGAAATTCTCTCCAGAGCAGAACTTCTCAAATCTCCTGACTTTAGTTGGTCATGAAAGATTTTCCTCTTTTCGTACAGGGCTTCTTGAGGCCCTGTTTCATCCTCCCACATGAGTTTTGATCAGATCCGGGAGAGTAAAGTGGCCTTGATAAATTAGGCTAAGGAGCGAAACCATACTGAGCACCGCAAAATTCAAATGAAGCAAAGGACCTAGAGATTTACAAACTCGCCTTGAGCGACTTTGCATCACACTCGGTGGCGAGTACCCTCAAGTCACTATGCAGAGCCTATAACTGGCATTTGCAAAATTTGCTCCATCCCCAGCGGACTTCCGTCTTCGCAAGGGTGTGGAGTTTTACATAAAACTGAAGGACTTACAGAGGGACATTCCACTTAATCTTTGGCTCACAGAGCAACCAAAAACTGAATATAGGTGTATAAATTTTCCCCCATGAGGACAGCTTGCCAGTTTGGAAAAGAGGACATTGTGTAGCGCCTGTTTGGCTTTATATCCTCTGCTCAAATGTTGGCAGAGATTTGGCAGGTTACCCCTCAAAGACTTTTACTCTGCTTTATCCTCCCCTCCCCGCCCTAGCTCTCCCTTTTTCCCTTTAATGTGTTTAATGGTTTGATGCAATTTTTGGTTACATCTTTGGCATATTCTAGGGCTTGCTCCTGCTAAGCACGGTGGTTCACCTGCACCTGTTCCACAGTTTGCAATTGATTTATAGCCCATAAGATGGTCATTACCAGGCAGGGTTACAAGAAACTGGGAATCCCTCCCCATGCATGGGAATGAACCATGCAACAAAAGAGGGAGGCAAAAGAAAATTACCAATTTCTTTTCCCCCATGGCAAGGGGTGGATAGTGAGGATACACCGTTATCACCCCCTGCCTACTCTGGACAGGACAATTGACCACAGATGCTCACAGTATGACACAGGCTTGGTTGTTTGTACCCCTAATCTAGCAACAGAGATTGCCCTTGCTGAAAACCCCCAGCCTGCTAGTCAAGGTAAAGGTTCCCCTTGACATTTAGTCCAGTCGTGTCCAACTCTAGGGCGTGGTGCTCATCCCCGTTTCCAAGCCATAGAGCCAGCGTTTTGTCCAAAGACAGGTTCCGTGGTCACGTGGCCAGCGAAACTAGACACGGAACGCTATTACCTTCCCACCAAGGTGGTACCTATTTATCTATTCGCATTTACATGCTTTTGAACGGCTAGGTTGGCAGCAGCTGGGACAAGCGCCGGGAGCTCACTCCATCATGTGGATTCGATCTTACGACTGTTGGTCTTCTGACCCTGCAGCACAGAGGCTTCTGCGGTTTAACCCGCAGTGCCACCACGTCCCTTCTCCAGCCTGGTAGTAGGGTAAAGCAAATGGAGGAAAGGAGTATATTAGAAGATGTTATGCTGAAGCAGATTGATGAGCTAGCACTGCACTGCAACCAATCAGAAAAAGAACCTTCTCTGAATGCAACTGAGCAGAGGGAGGGGAAAGACTGCAATTCTCTGTTTCAGTGGATCAGAGACATTTTAGGAGAGAAGCAGCTAATAAAATCATTATGAATCACATGAACTGCTAACTAAATTAGTAGAGATAGGCAAATTACCCAAGAACAAGCAGGAACCAGATAATGTAATCTCCCTTGATAACCCTCCGGCTGATAGAATTGCCAAGAATGAGGTATCAAAACACATGATGCAAAAGGAAACCATTAACAGGACAATTAATAGGTCTACAAACCAAAAAAAATCAAAAAACCTCACCTGGGGAAAAATATGAACAAATCAACAAATATCAAAAAGAGTAAAAACATTAACAATATTAAAAATAAAAGAAGTACAGCATATAAAATGAATGATCATAAACTGTTCAAACATTTGGAGAGGAAACCTAGGAAAAAGAACAAGACACTTCACCCCAGAAGAAAGGGCAAAGAGCTGAGGCAGCAAGGCCCTTGCGGGTAGAAACTGTAGCCAAATTATCTGGTGAGGACACTGACTGGCCTATTTTTAAAGAGCTTCAACCCAGAAGAAAGGGCAAAGATCTGAGGCAGCAAGGCCCTTGCGGATAGAAACCTCTCCATGATTTCTCCCCTCACAGGGAATTTCAAAAAAGCTGAAGGGCAAGACCCATGGGCGGATGCCTTAAAGAGCAATGACCGCATTTCCATCTGTTCATCAAAATCTGCCCCTTGGTACGCAAAGCTGCCCCATCCAAACACCGTACCCACAATATCTTAGTAACACAGCAAACTTCAAGTGGAGAAATGCCCTAACGGCTTTAAGATGTCAATCTAAGGTCTCGGCAGTGGCTGAGGGACGATACCATCAGATTCCCTGGGAAGAGAGAACTTGCCTGTGTGGCACCATGGAAGTAGAAGATCTAATTCACTACTTAATTAATTGCCCCATAGATAAAGACCTAAGAGCAAACTTGTTCAGAGAGATAGGCCTCGCAACCAACAGATCAGGTGCTTATCTGATAAGTTTTTTTGCTGGGGGATAGAGTACCACGTGTAACAGAAAAAGTAGCCTGCTTCGCCTTCAGAGCATCAATTTTAAGAAGGAAACACTAGTGATAAGGACCTGGCCGATTAACTGGATCTAACTTACTTTTAATATTAGTTTTGACTTCTATCATTCTAGATTATTAATGCTTCTGTTTTAATTTATTTGTAATGTCTGTTTGTAATGGCTAAGGCCACACAAATAAACTTGCATTTGATTTGATCAGATAATGATGTTGCATCTATATCAAAGCACATGTGCAGAAAACAACAGCCATTGTGTGTCCAAAAGCTCAATGTCATAAATAAGGCAGTGTAAAAAGGGTCCTGAAACCTATATCTGGTGGACGGGGCAATGAAACAAATATATAGAGGTGAAATACCTCTTACCCCCCAATAATTCTTTGAGTTTAGGGCTCTAGGATGCCCATAAAGAGGACGCCCATCCCAAAAATGTCACTGAGTGTTCCTTATTTTGTTGTTCTCATTCACTACCAGCAACTCCTACTACAGGAAGTGAACTTCTTTTTTTAATGGGCTTTTTTTCCCAGTACTCAAGCAGACCTTATCCAAATGCTGATAAGCAGGCAAATTAAATACAGCTGATACAGGAAGCAATCACATCGTATCTCCATTAACTACAGAGCACACTCCATGTACTTACCCCTTGCAGGATATGTGATGCAATTATGTCCAATTGCTACACAACAGTTGACCTTTTCTTCTAGCTGAGCTACCAGGAAGCTTTGAACAAGATTCTTTGTGCCTCAGTTTCCCCATCTGTAAAACAGAACCAGGAACAATATTGGTTATTGGCAGGCTTCATGGACTAAGATGGTGGAGCAAGATGAGATGACTTGTGAGTTCATTGAGGAAGACCACTTAACGGCTTAATATACACAATTATTGTTGGACAATTCCACGGTGCCGTTACTTCCCCAAAGCAAACCTGTAAAGCAGTCACCTGTTAAAAGCCTCTTCCTCAACAGCCAGTCAATCAGTTGTTGAAATCCCGCTTCTGTAAGGATCTGGGCTCAGGGTCCCCCTCCTGCTCTGCAATTCTAGGATTCTAACCTGCCTGAATATGTTTTTTTTTTCTTTCTCCCACCAGAAGGATAACAGGGAAAAGGTTAGCCTAGCTTCCTTGGAAAAGAGATCCACAGCTTGGGAGCAACCATCAAGAGAACCTTCTTACTGCTCATTGGTATAAAATTTAGGGCATGAGTCCCACACCCCCCAAAACCAGAAACAGGCTCTATCTGACCCAAACATTGAAGAAATACAACTAAAACAATGTACCTCCCATTGACATGGGTATGCCTCAAGTTTCAAATATATTTAAGTTAAGTAGACCATAAGCCATGCGCCATGTCAAGTTTCAGAGTTTAAAAATACATTAAAACAAAAAATTTCGACATCTACAACACAATTTTAAAGACTGCTCAAGAGTAATTTTAGTCTTGAGGAAGGTATCTGAGTAATTTTAGACTTGGGTGTTTTCTGAGGAATCACTCTCTTGCTATTGCATGTTTAATACTGTAAAAGAAGGTATGGGGTGGTGTATCAAGTTCTCATAGGGGACAGTCATAGTAACGTTGGGCCATGGGGGTATCTGAGTAATTTTAGTCTTGGGTATTCTGATAGCCATTTTGGGGGAAATTACTCTCTTGCTATTGCATGATTCATACCATAACAGAAGGTATGGGGTGGTGTATCAAGTTCTAATAGGGGACAGTCACAGTAACGTTGGGCTGTGGGTACCTTGAGAAATTGCCCCCTCATCCGAGCCACTGGAAGTGCATTGCAGTGAGTAATCATATATTATACCTTTGGAACTGTATATTAAGATAGAGAGGTTAAACAAATTGGATAAAATATTTAATTCCCAAGTGAAGTAGGGAGCATTTCCTCCTAAAATCCTCTTGAGGGTTGTTCCAGTGTTGTTTCTGTAAGTAGTGTTTAACTTCTCTCATTTAGGTCTATTGTCCATAAGCCCAGTTTACTTGCTGTCATATCTACAACACTGTTCCATTTTGACCAGAAGCGCTCTTGTATTGCCAATGTAGTGAAGGTTAGAAGATCTTCAACATTTAATCGCTGACATTCGTAGCTAATTGTGGCCTTTAAGATCAGGGTTGAAATCCCAACTTGAGCCATACCACTGTGGATGCAATACATGGCAAAGTTCATATTTTGTGAAGGAAGGCTAGGTGGGGTTTTTCAAGTTGTTCTGGTGGACCCAAAAATCCAAATTTGGGAGCCATACAGTGAGTGTGGCACTGTATGCCTTCAGGAACGCAGGAATGTATTGGGCTCCTTGAATATCAAAGATCTTCTTCAGGGCTAGCATGGCTAGTTTTGTTTTGAGATCAATATGTTTGGACCATGTTAGAATTGCTTGGAATACACTCCCTAGGCATTTAAACTCGTTCACTTATTATAATTTGTATACACCAGTTTTTCATCTTTTGTTTGACCATCTTGCTGACTTTGTAAATACCATGTGTTTTTTTAATTTGTCATTGTTTATCTCCAGAAGATCTTCATTACAATAGACAATAGACGCTTTAGTGGGATGTGCCTCCAGTGATTCCTGAACTATTCATTCTTAAGCATGATATGTGAAGCATTTTATGAAAAGGTGACTCAGCATTGTTCACTCTAGCCAGGTTCACATCCTCTCAACCAAGTTCATGTCTAGAACTGATGTCTCTATATTATGAAGAGTAAATGTGCTAATGGTTGTTGTGGGTTTTTCGGGCTCTTTGGCCGTGTTCTGAAGGTTGTTTTTCCAGACGTTTCGCCAGTATCTGTGACCTGGCGAAACATCAGGAAGAACAACCTTCAGAACGCAGCCAAAGAGCCCAAAAAACCCACAACAACCATCAGATCCCAGCCGTTAAAGCCTTCGAGAGTACAGTAAATGTGCTATTTCAGTCTTCTGCAGCCCTTAAGGGCCACATCATTTTAGGGCAGTGGCAGCTGTAAACAGATTTCTAACTGTGCTTGTCCTGCATGGTTCTGTACCTTCTACATCTTGGTGGCCCACCAATAACTTTTCTCAAAGAACCTAACATGATGCAAAAGATGGCTTCTTCTGAGAAGAATATGTATATAACTTCATACATTCTCTGATTATAGTTCCCTGGAAGGGAAGCCGGGCCATTGTTTCTCAAGATGGTGACAGAGGAGGACAAAGGGGAGGAGGTGGCAGGACCAGGTGTGGAAGCAATGGGGGCAACGGGAAGGGGGCTAGAGTATCCGTTTTGCCAAAAGTGAAGCGCTGAGCAGAAAAAAGGTTGATTATACATTTTGTTTCATTTCAGCAAAACAGGATTCCTCGAGCCAAACAACAAACCGAACCATGAACCAGGCCAGTTCGTCAAGGTGTTTTTTATCAATTTGTAGTTTGATTTGTGCACCATCTCTATTCATGAACCCAGAGTATCACATCTACCCCAATCTTTGAACTGTTTGCCATAACCTTGGGGATTCTACCATCTTTGCCAACGATGGGTTTCTGAGAACCGGAAGCCCCATCTTATTTGTAACTTTCTGATGATCCAATAAAAGGTATTGGCCTTCTATTTTAAAAAGGCAACTTATCATTACCCTAACATGCAAGTCAAATATTAAGAAAGACAATACAGTACTCTGTCCTTCAGCCACAGAGGTTCCCAGTACTTGTATCAACAAACCACAGGTCCTTTAATCTACAAAGACGCCCTGGACAGGGAAGCAAAAGCTAGGATTCCCAGCACCGTCTGTTTTGTCTGACTGATAACAAGGAGTTAGCCTTCAGAGATTACGACCTTTTGTATCCACCCCACCCCAGGAAACAGTAGTGTAGGAAGTACAAATGGCATTTTGACCTTCATTGTCTTTCTTGTAGATCATGAAAAAAGGGGGGAGGTAGAGAACAGAATTCCACAAGCAATCCCTGCTACATGTTCAAATACCTAGATTACAGGAGCTACTCTTGGTGTGTAAAATTAAAGGCATGAAAGCATTTAAAGGGAGGAATCTGGGGTAGAGGCTGCCTTGTTAGGAGTGGCACTGAGTTAATAAGGTTCGGGACCAGTACAACTCACATTGCAGATTTGCAAATGTCATTGATATGTTAGTAGTGGTCCAAAACTTAGATAAATTAAAAAATGGAGGAGGGGGAGTCACAATTGTTCAATAGCGGCACTGAAATGGAAAACTAATTTCAACACTTCAATAAAACTAAATTAATCAGAGATTGTTTGCTTGTTTATTCGTAGTCCCAACCGAGCACTGTAAAAACTGCATACAGGAGTTTAAACTATAGTTAAAACCTACATCAAGAGGAATATGTTTCCAGCTTAAAAAGAAATTAAGCTGGGAAATGCATTCTGTCAGTTATATGTCTGATTTAAATAAAAGAGGGAGACACTTCAACCTTTGGCCTCCAGAAATCCTAGACTTTAATTCCAAGACATCCCAGCTAATGCGGCCAAGAATCAAGGATGGTGGAATTATAATTATTGTAAATGCTTTGGTTTGGTTGGATTAGAAGTCCAAAATATCCGGAAAGCCAAAGTTTGAAAATTGCTGGCCTAGAGACGGAAGCTATGAAAATGAAAGTCAGACAGGGGGAAAAAATCCTAAAAGGTCCTGAAATGAATTAAAATGAGATCTCCTCCAGCACTACAGAAAAATGGGCGGGATGAAGGCCAATAAACTGAAGCCCTAACTAATACATCCATGTGGCAGAAAGGGATGGAGTTGCAGTCCATCTGATGGAACAGGTTGTGTAGCCTGGGGAAAGATCTTCAGTTGGCAGATTGAGACCTATTCCTGGATTGCAACTGAACAGAAGTGGTACTCAACATCACCCTACAAATATATGATACAACCAAGGTGGAAATCACAAGCCCATGGCCATATACATCCCTAATACATGGATGTGGCAGAAAGGGATGGAGTTGCAGTCCATCTGATGGAACAGGTTGTGTAGCCTGGGGAAAGATCTTCAGTTGGCAGATTGAGACCTATTCCTGGATTGCAACTGAACAGAAGTGGTACTCAACATCACCCTACAAATATATGATACAACCAAGGTGGAAATCACAAGCCCATGGCCATATACATCCCTAAAACTTATTATGCAGCCCTCAGACCCAAAACAAGGATGTCATGCCTCTGAAACAACACATCCCTCTCTGCCCTGTTTTAGCAAAAAAGAGAAAATATTGTCCCCCAATCGTAAATGGGCTGGACACATTTGTGAACCCTACTGGTTACTCTCATTATAACCACAGAGGTAGTAGGCTGTGGATCTTCCAGCCCAGATCCTGTCAAGGAGGCACCGTGGGGAATGGAATTCCCAACGTCTGGCTCTGTGGACAGATACCTCAACCACAGCGCTATCCAGCAGCTCATCTCCTTTGTATTTTTCAATAATGCTGTTTGGCTTCAAGTCTCGTCGAAGCACAGCCTGCGTTTACTAGAAATAGGCCTGTAATTTCCTCTGCTCCCCCCCCCATGATCCAGTAAACTAGATTATGTAGATCGTTTCAGTGTTTATAGTTAACACAAATCATTTTTATATAACTAACTGTGGTTCAAATCTCAATAGGGATCCCTTTCATATATCTTCCCAAGGGATGTGTGGTTGAACAACAACACCATGCCCAGTTTCATTATTTGAAAAGGCTTTGGAAATCCATCTATTTTTAGGGCATTTAACTGGTATAATTTATTAGTAGTGTTCACGATTTATGTTTAATCGTTGTGGTGTTCTATCTGACATGAAG